AAATGTGTTTTCTTTTTAAATCTAGCGTTGAAAGATTTACTATAACCAGCTACAATGGAGTTTTCTCCACATGATGCCATTAGAAGTTTCTGTCCTGACCTGAGGTGCCCCTACTATTTTGGCCCTCTTCCTGTTTTAATTAAGACTGTTAATTATGCCACACTGAATGGCTGTTTTATTATGCTAACAAGCTTGTTGCAGAAACCAGAACTGTGCTATCAAATGTATGACTTGAGCTAGTGTTAAAATCTACCTTTACACGTGTTGAGCATCAGGACTGACAGTGAAGTCCACTCTTTTTATTACTGTGTTCCTATTAAATATGGCAGATAGTTGCTTTAAATTGTTATAACAACATTGCTAGTCTGAAATACCTGAAATCAGTGGGTTCTTTTGCTTTGTTGAAGTTGGCAGATAGGCAACATAGCTCTCAGTCCTTACATGTTTTGGCATTTTTACATGCTCAAAAGGAGATATAAAATAAATCAGAGGCTTAATCACATAATCGGATAACAGACCCATCTCTATCTTTGGGAGAAATTATCTCCCTTCTGTCCTATTGAATATTTTTAATACACATTACAAAAAATAAAACCCCTTCCAGGTTGTGCATATGTGTGCACATATATGTGCATGTTTAATAGATGTGAATAGTCTAACAAAGCCTTTGGTTGAAAAACCAGCTTTGACACTGGCAAGAGAACATCTAATCCAGGATTCTGTTTCCTTGGCTGGGTAAGTCCCTCAGTTTGTGTTTGTTCCTCTTTTGGTTTAGGCAATAAAATGAGAGTTACATTCACTTCACATGATTCTTACGACATCAGTAATAGTAGTTCAGGTAGAAGTTTATTTTAGTTTTTCTTCTTTCCCCCAGTGTTTGGAACAAGTTCCTCAGAGCTGTTTTATTGAAATACAGCTATGCTGCTCATTCAGAAAACAGTTGGAAGAGTTTAAAAAGGTGTCTTTTCAGGGCAGAAAAATTACTTGGATTTTTTTTTTTCCCAGTTAAGTACCATCATGTTGGTAAGCTGCTGAAGGAGGGGGAGGAACCCACTGTGTACTCTGATGAAGACGAAAAAGATGCCCAGGATGCAAAGAAGGAGTAGATACTGCAGTGAGGAACAATCTATTCTTGAACCATAATGGATCATTTGTAACATTCCACTTCTGTTTCACAAGGTGCAGCAGCATCCAGGCTTACAAAAGGTCCAGAGGTACAGTGAATGGTTCCTTTTCAAATATTTCCTTTTCAAATTCAGTGGGAAGCTTCTGAAGGTCTATGATGTCTTCCTTTAAACCCACATAATAAGAAGTATGCATGACAAATGTCTGTGCAAAAGTAAACTGCAATTTTGGCAATAAAGGACTTTTTCTGCTATCACCATTTAGTGCAAAGTAGGTTGGAATCAAGTTTTTCATTACCAACCTATCACTGTGGAGACAAGCACATGACTCACTTCACATATGCAACACAAACACCACTAATTCTTCTTTTGTGTTAGCTTCTGCAGGATCTGGCAGATCTTACCTGGGTTGTAATTCCTTTAGAAAAGGGACTATATTTTGTTTGTCCACAAAGCATCATACTCATTTGTTGTGCGGTGTAATTCATTATTATGTAAAATAATTTGGCTTTCAATGCATTGCATTAGTGACTTACAGATGAAACACTTAACTGCTTTTAAAAAAGATTTAAGAATTTTTGTGAGGTTAAATCACTTTTAAGTATTTAATAAAGACTGATGAATGCTTGATGTATTCAACATGCATAATTCTGCATAGACTAATATTCTCTGTTCACTTTTAAAGCACATCTAGTGTTAAAACACTTCAAAACACACATAGTGTTGTAAAGGTTTAGACAATGAGTGGAACTAGGCATCCTTAAAGGTACACCACAGAGTGTAACTTGACTATTGTTCATTTGATTTTCTTATTAGCAAAAAGCTAATAAGTGTTAATGCAAGTGTTAATGGAATTATATTAAACATGGAAGGTTAGCTGCTCTTGATTCCTAGGCCTAAACAAACAAGAAGTTGCTGGTATGGCATGATTAGCAAGGGCTCTTGTACATGCACCTTTACTTAGCAGAAAAACATTACTGGTCAACATAACGTACATAAGTTTCCTCTGCAAAGTAAAACAGTGTGAGCTGTTTCTGCATTGAGGCCTTTGTTGGTTTGGAATGTTGCCATTAAAAGAAATGACACAATCTCATGCATAACCAGCAGTGCTATACCTGTGGACCTGACCTTTGAGTTGCTTTTTACTTACTTGCTCTCCTGGCTTACCTCTATGCCTAATTACTAGTTTTTTTCTAAGTGACCTGCCTCCTGCCAGAGAGGTCTGGGGAAATGGACATGACCAAGGAAAAACGTAAATGTTCATCATCCAAAATACTTCTGTAAAACTTTCTTAAAAATTCCAAGATAACTAATGATTTGCTGATCACTTGTGAACTTGTTTCCTGTCCAGGTGATTCTCTAGTGCACAATGTCCAGGGTGCCTGCCTGGTGTAGTTCCCTCATTTCATTTCTCTGACTCAGCTGTCTGGTTGATTCAATTTGGCAACGTGACCAAAATGATGAACTGAGTCCTGAGTAGGAAGGTGTAAACTAGGCAAAAGTGTTCAGAAGTAGAGTGTGTTGCACAACAGCAGCTTTCATAAACAAATTGACACAACATATTAAAGTGCCTGAGACCATCTGTGGTGAGAACAACTGACTCCCTCAGTCCCAACACTGTCCTGGGGTTTTCTTTTGGTTGCACTGGGCCTTCCAATGAAGAGTGAGGTTGTTTGAGCCAGAGCTGTGTAAAGTGGTACTGTATGAACTACCTGACAAAGGTCTAGAGACACACGTAGACCTTGTCATGACCTTTGTGTTGCTATTTTATTTTTAGAGACATTTATACTCTTTGCAAACTACTACTAATGGTTTACCTCAAATTGGAAATGTGCTTTTATTTGTTTAAGGCAAAAAATAAAATACTCTTGCATAATGGTGGAGTTTGTTTTTATTTACTGCAACCAAATGTTATATTTTATTATTATATTTAATACTCCCCTAATGTTTCACGTTTTATAAAGTCTTTCTCTGATGTGTCACATTATCCAATGCATAGAGTGAGTAAAATATGTTCTAATGGAATGCTTGTAAATGCAGTTTGCTAGTAAAATTTTAACAGAATATTAGATAGAGAACATGCTCTATTGCAGAAAAAAAAACCCAAGTAATTGTTAATGCTGAGCAAAAGCTGGAGCTTTGGAAGGCTGTGACCTACCCTTAAGTGGACCCAATCAGCTGACTGAAGTTACTCTGCAACATCTTCCGAGGAACTGAAAACTATTGTAAGGATTAATCTGTACATCAGAACACTATGCATCACAAAGAAAAGTAGCAACAAAAATGATGCAGAAAACATCAGGTTTTTTTTCATTCCGTAACACAGGACAAAGCTCATTGTTAATACTTCTTGGGGAGGAGGTATGATGCTTTGGTAAGACTGTTACTTTTTCAAGGAAAACAGAGAATTTCTTGTGGAAGGAGAAGCATGTCACAAAAGCTGCTCATAAAGCAGCAGGTACGGGTTTTACTTCTTTCCAAAGTGCTGAAGAAAATGGACTTAGCTTCTTTTGTAGTCTGTTAATTACAACTCGAACCCTTCCTTCAACAGTGACTGGCAGCAATGACTATGCAAAAAGAGCCATGCCAGGCAGCTTATCAGGCTGTACATTAACCAGACAAGACATGATGACCAATTCAAGGCAGAGAATGTCACTAATCTCCCTCATCTGACGTGTCCAACACCTGTCACAAAGATCTACTCCAGGACAAATCAAAACAATTGAGTCAGATCTTATTTTCAACCATACTTTTTACTGCTTTGTAAAATTCAGATATTCTTTCACCTGGACTTCACCTGCCTATAATCACCTTTATTAGCTCTTACTTCCTGCTGTTTCAGTTTAAAAAAAAATTCAGTATAGAATGCTTCTGTTGAAAATTATGTAAGGGGTTTTATGGAAGGTGAGGCACTTGTATGCATTGCCTGGAATCCCTGGATTAAGAAGAAAGGGCTTTATATCATAATTGCTGTATTGTATTTCAAGCAGATGGACTGGTTCAGGAATGGGCCTTGTGTATTACTGCTTTAAAACCAGCCTGTAGGATTTTGACTTCAGCATTCAGCACAAGGTACATACAACCCACAGGTCACATATTTTCAGTAACAAAGCATTGTTCAGCCCACTTCTCTTCATACCAACTCTATGAGAAGGCATTTTCACTCGTTCTGTACAGAAAATTAGACTTGATAGCAAGATCTGCAGTCTCAGGGCCCAACTTCATACATGTCAGAGTAAACAGTGTTTCCATAAAAAGCACCCAGCCTCTTGAACAGCAGCTGGGCACAACAGCAGGTTCAAACTGAAAGGTGTGAAATTATACCAGAAATGTTCCACATTTCCATTGCTGAACTATATAAATGCTACTTTTAATGCACCTTTTCATGTAATAAAATAAATGTTTTAATTGCCAAAACATTCTCTAACTTTCATATGGGGGATGTGACATTTATATCTATGACAACTAAAATTCAATCTACAAAGCCATGCATTTTAAAAGTTTTAAAGCAAGCTGTTACATGTATCTTTAAAGATTAGCCTTCAGGATAATAAAATCATATTAAGCAGGCCAGTGTATGAAAAGGTGGGGCTCATATTAAATGTGCTGACAGGAAAAAGAAATTCTTCCCTGTGAGCATGGCTGAGGCTGTGGCAGAGGTTGCCAGAAGAAACTGGATGCCCCATCCCTGGAAGTGTTCAGGACCAGGCTGGACACTGCTTGGAACAGTGTCCAAACTTGGAGCAATCCAAACCATTCTATGATTTTGTGAAAAGAAAAATTACTATTTAAACACCTGAAATCAGGTTCTAAATAATGTCAAATAGGAAACACAGAAGTTCTCTTTTGGTATGAAGATTACAACGATGTCTCACATTTTAAAGTGCATGCATATTTTATTAACTAACAGTGCTTTACAAGGAATGAGGACTTGGGAGACAAAGCAAATCCTCTATCAATTTCAGTCAATACAGGTGAAAACCTGAAGCAATTACAGAAATGGAGTATTTATTTGTTATTGGTTACTGTGACAGCATGTTGATAAAACACTGGAAGTTTACACTGAAGGAAATCTTTAGTTCCTTCTGCCCCAGATTAACAAAAAGAAATATTTCCTCACCTGTCACCAAAAGGCCTGTCTCATGGGAAATGGGTACTCATGGACACAAAACTGTGTATAGATTTACAGGGGGAAGTTTTGTTATCTTTAATCTGCAAATATTGCATAGAGAAAAAAACACCCTTGGTATGTCCCATCAGTGCAACTGAAAACATTTTACACAGTCAACAAATACAATAGTCCCTCTTCAGGATAACTGTATAAAATACTAAAGGGGAGACTTAAGAGGGCATAAAGGTTCTCCAAAATAGTCAGAGAATATTTCTGTCAAGAAAATAACATTTTTTTAGATAAAAGTAATAGATTAACAGTACTTTGAGTAGCAACCATTTATCATTCATGACCCTGAAAAGGCACTCAACATCTGAACATATGAACAGAAAGACTGATAAAACCTGGCTTAGAAGCCTGTAGGAATCACCAGTATTGAAGATGGGGGGGAAAACCTATCTACCACAAACAATTACAATTATTTTTTTTATTACTATTTATTAGAGCAGAAGTTACAAACATGGGTAAGATCTTATGTAATGAAGGCAACATTTTCACATTAACTTCGTCTACTGACATGTAATAAATAAAGCATAATAAAATGAAAGCTGTAATAATCAGTGTATTGAACTTCAAACTCAGTGCCTTGCTAAGGGACTTTGTCCAAAAGCAATTGTGGCTGTCTTCTAGATGTAGTCAGATGAATAAATATGGATATAAATCAAGCTCCTAGACTGCATTTTCCCATTTTTATCTACATGCAGCACAACTCTGACAACATTTCACAATTCCTCTGGAAAGCATTTGTAGGCAAACTCATACTAAACAGCTACCTCACTACATGTGCCTTCAAATTCTTGTGAATTGTAAGCCTGCATTTACATGGGGACTGTCAGCAGGCTGACAAGCACTGCCCTCTCATTATCTAACACCCAGAGCTTTGCTTAGACAACCATTCAGACTCCTGGAAGCACTACACTGAGCATAAGTTCAGTGAAATCCTCCCAAAAGCCAGCAAGTTTTCAGAAACACCTCTAGAGTAGTGAATAGTAAACAAAGGTTCTTCTAGTGTGGGTTTTACAGAAGATGGGACTTCCTTCACATTTGGAAATCTATTACTTCTCAAAATTGAGTATAAATATCCCCCACACCTTCCAGTCCCACCAATCTGACAGAGGAGACAATTCATATGCTTGTTCCAGGATTGACAATTAGGTTTTTTTCCCAATGACTCATTATTAGTAAATACTGTAATTTACATGATTCTCTGCATTCAATCAAAGTGTAATGCTCCAAGATCTCAGTCTGTGTCCCTTCAAGTTCTTTAGCCACTAGTCCATGAAAGTTTGTCCTGGCTCTGGGGAAAGTTTTGGTCCAAAAGTTATCCAAAAGGCAAACACAAATTCTGCTTCTGTGGCTCACTTCACCAGTTTGATATTCTAACCAAAGGAATTATGTAAGAAAAAAAAAAATCAAAAACCAACCCAGTAGTTCATACACCTTTTAATGATCAAAGGGCTTTGTTCTCCCACTTGTTTATAAAAACTTCAGAGCTATAATACAGTAGCTGTTCAGCATCCTCTTCTGGGCTCTCCTCCACAGAAATTATCTGAGAAGGGGTTTGTCTGAATTATCTCAAGAGGAAATAGAGGGCATCCTCTGACATCTGCATCCATCTCTCTTCTCAACATTAATTTCCTCTCATCTCCTGTAGATAAGAAAAAGTTACTTGAAACGAGTTTGTCAGGCAGGCAGGGTGGGAAAGGGAGGTGGCTGTGAGGGTAAGGCTGTAAAGGTATCAACTGGAAGTACAGTAAATTGTAAAAAAGACTCTAAGAACAGCCAGTAGCAATCCTGTATGAAAATCAGATTTATTTGAGCTATGTAAAAATTTATTCACCTGAGACAGTACTTCCTACACAGCTGTGCCACACATTGAACTGTCTATCAATGTTTTAGTTGGCTAAAGCATGTTGTTACCAGAATAATCACTAATTGGGCTAATGCCCAGGACAGATACTGTGCTACCCAGTTCATTAGACAAATGTTACTCTTGAGCTGCAGCTGTGTTTCAGAGCTAAACTGAACAAACAGTTACTTGCAGAGAAGTTGCACTGGGTTTTTTTTATGCCATGCTTATACCTTTTAAAACCAAAAACCATTCATCACTGTAAGAACTCTGGCAACGTCACCTGCCACAGCCCTGTCAAATTCAGTCCCCTCAGCTGTGGTGTCCCCCTCTCTCACCTCTCCTCTGGGGAGTCTCCTGAAGGGGTGAGCCACCATCAGGGGTAACATCTGGTGCTGCCACAGAGGTGTGATGTGTCTTGAATTTCACTTTTTTGTGCAACATTTTCTTACATTTTCTCTGTATCTTTCTGAGCGACTCCAGCTGCATGCAACTGTCCGTCTCTGAAAAGCCACATTCATCAGATAAAAGATTAGAAGAAAGCTTTTTTCGCTTTTTCTTCATTTTATGAGCATTTTTCTCCTTTTCCCTGGATTGTCTCTCACTTTTCTTTCCTTCATATCTTAATTTACTACTAGACCTCTTGCATGACTTTTTAAGTTTACGTTCACACTGCCTTGCCAAGCCCTCATGGACAGAATTAGAACAGGAGTTATATTGGCTGATTTCCTTCTCTTGGCCTTCCAGAGCTACATTTTTAGGGTAAACCAGTAATTCTCTTTCCCCAGCTCTTGCAGACAAGCACCCTTTATTACAACTGCTGTAAATTTCTTCATACCTTCTTTCTGCTCTCTTCACTGAGCCGCCACATGCCTCTCTAAAGTACTCAGAATCACTGATCTCTTCCAACAAATCCTTTAATCTGCAAGCAGATCTACATGTTCCATATGGTACAGTGCCTTCATCTCTACCATGTTCTTGTTTGAATTCCTCATTATGAGTAACAGTAGTGCACTCCAAAGAATGATTCAGTCCAGCATGTGGTACATTATCAACAGTGAGTGAGTCATTCCTCTGCACCTGCAGCTTTTTTACAAGCTTGCCCCCATGGACCTTGCTTTCTAACACTTTGTCTGTTGACTCAAGTTCCCCAAGAGTGATCACCAGCCTATAATTACTATCACTACTACAATTTCTCTTGTGGAGGTTCTGTACAGGACTCAATTCTCTGAAGTGCTGACCATGTTGGCTACTCAAGCTGGTGTCAAACCCACTACCATCATCAGACACCACTCGCTTCCACCGGGACTTGTTCACAGTGGTTTTTGGCTCTAAGCAAACACGTGCATAGTGTGGTGTCTGATAGTAGTTCAGCAAATAATGGATGAATTCATCAGTCTCATAAACCTTTTGCTTTCTGCAGTCATCTTCCTCAGACACTGTCTGCGTGTGAACTGCATCCCGTGCAGGGCGGTGCCTTCCAGGGAGAGGCTCGATGACCCTGCCGTCCTGGGTGACCGTGATCAGCAAAGGCGCGCGGCCTCGGCGGGAGGAGCTGCTCACATCTCTGCCAGGCTCGCCGTCAGAGCTGGGGGCTGCAGGGGGATCATTTGAAATTGTCCTGACTATGTGACAAGCAGGTGCATGGAAGTTCCTCACATCTCCTTCCTCACAGCATAAAGCACTACCTTTGTGGGTTAACGGGCACTTCAACTCCTTACGCTTCAGCTCTTTGTGCGTACGATAAAGGGAGTTAATCAGCTCCTGCTGAATGTCTTTAAATGCTGTTTCAGAAAATGAATTGTCCTTCTTTACACCCAGTGAGGGATCCACTTTTTGACTTGCCAACTGCGGAACCAAGAAAATAGGAATTTATTTAACACATCATGTTCATAATCAAGAAGGCAATGTCAGATGTAATGGGGCCCTAAAATTCACACAGAATGCCAAGGGTAGCCTCTGACTTCAACTCATAGTAAATTACAGTCCTTTAGAAATCTTTTGCATTAAGGATTGATAAAAATACACACTTACTAAAAACTGCAAGCAAATTTTTCTTTGCAAATAGTGGAGACAGAGGCATAGTAGAAAATAAAACCCCTGTTTTCATTTGAAACCTTTTTTGCCTAAAGCACCAAATTAAACTTGCAAACATTAATCTGTGTGCAAAACACTCAAATTTTTATCAGTTCTCTGCTGACTTTCTCAAGACATTATCTGAATTAAATAAGCCTGGTAATGAGTGCTGGCCAAGAAAAAAGAAGAGGCTATTAGAAATCCAACAGGTATAATCTGCCAGTTTAGTTCAGTCACTTGTAAACCTGAGACTAAAACAAGCAGAGAGAGCATCACTTATGTCCCCACTCTAAAATTCCTTGCTTGCAACACTGGATCAAGTCTAATAGAGTTAAAACAGCCTTTCCAGCCCTATTTTTTACTCAGTTAAGACAAGGTCTTGAAAAAGCACCAAGGCAAAGTTTCTGGGTGAAAATGCACTATGTTTGCTCTCAGGGCAAGACTGAGAGCAGATTGTCACAAGACATGGACCTCAGGCCTTCTCAGTGATCAGTCAGCCCCAGAGCAGTCTTCTGAATAGCATCAAGATATCAAAAGTCTAGTGAATTATTCAAGCTCTAATAGATATCCTTAAAAGCTTAAAATATGTTTTAAAATAGTCTTACTTTCACACGCTTTAACAGCACTGTAAGCAGTCTGACAGACTCCACTCTTCTCTGAGCTAGCAGGGATTTCCTTTCTTCCCATTCAGGCATATTCTCTGGCCAGTGCTGTTCTTCAGCCGGTGCCTTCTGCTGCTTTGGGGGATGTTCCTCATCTCCATCTATCTGCCTCTCTTCTCTCCTCTCGCGCTTAGCTTTCCTTTTTCTCTCTTGAACTTCTTTCCATCACCACGTCTTTTTCTAGGTAATTATCAATATGGGACAATTTAGATGACACTTGTTTTATATTTTACATCCTGGGGAATTGGATGTAAGTCTTTGAAGCACTAATAATAAGCAAACAGTCATCAAGAATCACATGTGGCTAACAGGGAATGTCCTTTGCTTAAGTAACATGTTTAAAAAAAACCAAAACATAAATTACACACACCCAACTGATCCCCACAATTAGAAAGCTGTCTCTTCAAACAGTCTGTACTCTTGGGTTTTCTTTATAAGCACTGCCAAGACAACAGCATCACATGATTGTTTGTCCCCAAGGACACAACTAGAGACTAATCATTTGGATCTAATTCTTAAATTAACAAATCTCCCCTACAGATTAGCATGAGGGTCCTGTTTAAGAGGTATTACAAGAGTAATTCAGGGGTTATCACTGAGCAAGGCTTACCCAGAGCCAAGGCCTTTTCTGCTCCTCACTCACCCTACCAGTGAGGAGGCTGGCAATGAACAAGGAGCTGGGAGGGGACACAGCCAGGACAGCTGATCCCAGCTGACCCAGAGAATATCCCAGACCATCTGGCCTCATGCTCAGCAATAAAGCCAGAGAAGGAGGAGGAGGAGGAGGAAGGGGAGCACTTGGAGTGATGGTGTCTGTCTTCCCAAGTCACTGTTATGTGGGGTGGAGCCCTGCTGTCCTGGGGAAGTGGGGAATTAATTCCTTGGTGTGCTTTCCTTGTGTACATGGCCTCTGCTTTACCTATGAAACTGATTTGATCTCAACCTTCAGTTTTCTCACTTTTACCTTTGTGATTCTCCTCCCATCCCACTGGGGTGAGGGGGAGGGATTGAGCAGCTGCTGTAGCACTTAATTACCAGCTGGGGTTAAACCTCAACAGGCTATCATCACTTTTGGAAACTTTGCCCTGTAGGAAGTAGCTCTACCATATAATCAACGTGACACATCACCAAAACCTCCAGAAAACTCAAGGAACTGTGTTCACACAAATGAGTGTTTAAAAACAATTTTTAAGAAGTATTTGAATAAGGAAGAATTAGCAATGCAAACATAGCAGTGCTTCTAGAGACCTAGCATTAGATTCACTATGCTCTGCATTCTAAGTGGTTGTTTTTTCAACATGATTGATTACTCATGACAGTTTAGGATGCCATCCAAACACATTATCTAAAGAATTAAAACTTCAATATACTACTATTACTCATATGCAAAATTAAGAACACTGCACTAAAGATATCAACATTAAAAATGGGTAAAGACAGAAAAGTATTAATTTCATAGCCTTGGACTTTCCAGTCAACTGGGAGGTACTGAGAAATGTACATCACATTAATTTTATTTCAGGGCACAAGAGCATTGATTTAAGATGTTGCAGCATAGAGCAATACAAAAAGCCCACATGCAGAACCTTAAGGAATCAATCCTCAGAACAATTTGAGAGCAACAGCTCTCTGATTTCACTGTAGGCCCACAGAATCATAGAATAATCCAATCTGAAAGAGACCTTGGCAGATCTCCAGTCCAACCTTTCTCATAATCCAGACCCCTGCATCTGATGCCTCACATGCAGAATTATCATTATGGTTTTCTTTCCAGTATATAAATTAACAACTACATAGGATTGTTTCAATTTCTCCAACTCCTGCATTCTCAAACCTGGATTTTTACACAGCCACTATTCCTGTATCTTACTTGGTGTGAGGAAGTGTAACAAATCTCAAGAAAATGGGACATTCTCTAAAAATATACTCTCACCTTTCAACCCCCTCTCTTTTTTTCCCCCTTTTTCAAATGTGCTCCTGTTCTTGCAGCTTTAATCTTTCCAGGCTTCTCTGTCTTATGGCTCCTTCACTAAAAACGTCTGGTTTGTTTTAAAAGCCACCGGCCACAGAAGAAGCAGAATCAGACTTAGCAGCCCAGTTTGCTGTGTATTTGTACAAACACAGCCTGCTGAGCAAATGAGAGACCCCAGGTGACACCAAAACACCACTACACTCCTGAGAATGCCTCTCTCAACCCTGGCATAGCAGAACTCCTGAAGTTCATTCTGGGTTGTCAATCAAGCTCAAACACCCCTCTCTCAAATGTCTCCTCCTGCTGTGACATCAGGGCTCACAAAGTGCCATCATATCTTTGAGCAAACCCGTTCCTGGTGGGCTCTTCTGGGGACTCAAAGTTCTGCATGTTCAGCACAGCATTCCTAGTTGCAGGAGTCATGCAGATCTGCCAAACTAGAGTTCACTGACTCTGAGAGCAACATATTTTGGATCAAATGCTTGTTTGCTTGCTTAAAAATTCATGGATTCTGTTGATGTAGGGATAATTCAGGGTCACAGTTTAGAAATTACCAGCTGGGAGAAAAAAATGAAACAGGGTACTCCTTAATAAGTGCTTATGGAGGTAAATCATAGGCTGCTGAAATTAAGCTTACAGGTTGCACATTTTCTTTTATAATGCCACACTAGGCATAACACTTCAGAGGATTCATCTCTCAATATACTTAAACAAAAAGGTACAGAGATGAGAATAGGTACCGTTTTCTAGCCAATAATCACCAGGCAGCTGCTGCACCTACTTCATATTTAACAGCAAGAAACTAAGTATCTTTCAGAGTCTCATCAGTTCCTGACATCATCTCCCAGTTTCAATGCCAACTACACTGAAAACATTGACAACCTTCAGCTTACCAGAGTAAATTTTCAGGAAATCTAAACAGTATAAGGCTGGGTTTGATTACAGGAGTGAAGTTCAGACACCCGAACTCCATGTATCACTATGCCTACATCTAGTACAAACAGAATAGTCACACAGGGGTTTTTTTGCCACTCACATGGTTAATTGCACAAGAAGTTTACAGAGAGGCTTCCACTGGTTATCAAGGACTTTTCAGGCCTAAATTCAAGGAAAAAGAAACAGAAGTTGGCAATCCACCATCTGTGCCAGTTTCTTCCACAAAGGCTCAGCACCTAGTAAAGCTCAAGTAAAGCTTAGTGTATTTTAATGCTGTCCATATGCTGTATTTTTATTTTATAGACTCCATTTTAATAAATACAGACAAAATCAAATTGAGGAGAAAAGATACATAAACAAAGAGAATTGCAAGAGTGCCGCATAAAAACTTCCACTGAAGAAACACAACAAAAAAGTTTGTAAGATGGTTTTCACAAGTTAACTATACTGTTATTACTTGAAAAATGCCTGTTTGCTTTTAACATGGGAATGTACAAGGGAAGACAAGCACAGAAACTGTTTGATAAAAGAGGGTGACTACACTTTTTGAAAATGATGAAGAAAAAACCACACGTATGTACTGAGAAAAAACTAGTCCAATTAACATTAACATAAAACAACCAGGAATCTCTGGAAGCAGCAGCTACAGCACAGACTGCAGCACTGAATCACACCTCTTAGGGAACTGCAGCCCAGTGCACTCAGAATTAACTGTAAGTTTGTCAGGCAAGGCTGAATCTCTCAGGATTAATCTCTGCACACAGCTGTGTATGTACAGACACACCTCCAGTGTCTCATATAAGCAAAGCAGATACACAAAGCACTTTCTACAAAACCGAAGCACTGAGTAATCTCTAGAGTCCTTTCTGCCCACTGTGCATTAAGATAAAGAGCTTCCTAAAGATTTCCACCAAGTAAGTGCCAACCAAACTTCTGCCACCCCACTAAGATTTGTGGTGCAGCAGGTTAAAACATCCAGGACTCTGCTGTTACAACCTGCAGAGAAATGACTGTCAAACCTGCAGACCACCTGGTGTACACAAAATCCTGCTCTGTTTTGCAAGTACATCATCTGTTAAACCAACTGATATATTATCCTGCCCTTGAAAATCTTCTTTCACATATATCCTTGCACCATCACAGCTGCAACCATCTCCCTACTACTGCAATAAATCACCTAAAAGCCCCAAACTCTCTTCGTAGAGCTGAGTAAGCTACAGTGGTTTGCTAGTGCACACCATTACCCCTGCTCTTCCCCCCTTGTGCTCATAGCCAGGAGCTCTTCAAGCATCAGAAATTTATTTCTCTCTACATAACTGTGAACAAGGCATAGAATTATTTACTGGCTGACCCACCGAACTGCTGCTCAGCAGCATGGCCTTTTGGAAGTAACCCTGACATATCAACAAGCCACCACCTTAACTGCTGCAACTGACAAATCACAAGGAATTTGACTTTCAACCCCTTTATCAAATTATTATTTCCTTTTGGCCATTCTGCCATGGTAAAAACATTTGGAACACATCTGCCCTTGCACTAGGATTTACTACAATAACTGAAGGCTGAACTGTCCTTATCTTACAACACCCTAAACTGTGTCACCTAAGTTCATACTTTAAAACAAACTTACACTTCTGGGAAAAATTAACAGCCTGGCAATATCTAACCTGAAACACTCACATAGTGCACCTGAGCAACATGCAAGTAGCAGGAATAATTGTTCCAAAGGCACCCCTCACATTTGCTCACTGTCCTGCTACATCAAACAGCTCTTACCATCCCCAGCTGGTCATTCATGCCAGGCCCTGGGCCATCACAACAGTTTCAGAGACCATATCATCCACCAGGTCAGGATAAAGGGTTATCTTAAAGAGGGGGTGGGGAAATCATATTTTCCTAGGTTACTTTTCATGCTCTCACGGACAGTGTAGCCCCTGAGCAGTCCCACCAGCAGAGGTGAAAGCAAGCTCAAGGCAGAGGTAATATTTGAATTCTGCAGAGGCGAGTATGTAGGAGCACTATAAGCTAATGTAATGTGGCAACTGTATGTATTGATCCCCAGCAGCAGAGTTTATCATGCAGGGGAAAAAAGCTGGAGCCACTTAGCCTGGAGAAAGAGAGGCTGGAGGGACCTTATGGCTCTCTACAACCACCTGAAAGGAGGCTGGACCCAGGTGGGGGTCGGTCACCCCTCTGAAGTAATGTGAGGGGAAATGGCCTCACATTACACCAGAGGAGGTTTAGACTGGATATCAGGAAAAAGTTCTCCACTGAAATGGTGATCAGGCACTGGAAGAGGCTGGAAACACCATCCCTGGAAGCTTCAAATGGTTTGTGGCTATGGCACTTGGGGACGTGGTTTAGCAGTAAACACAGTAAATGCTACTGGTTAGACTCAGATCTTAGAGGGCTTTTCCAACGCCAGTGATTCTATGACAAGCACCCGAAAATCACTTGGAGAAGTTTAAAGAAGAGCTTTAAACTGATTTTTAACAAATTAGCTTATCCAGCCTATGGATTTGCATATTATCAGCCTATTTGCATTTGCCCTATGCAAAATTAACTGAAAAGGAGCGATGATCAGAAGCGCCGCTTCTCTCATGACTATTGCAATAAAGGAGCGCTTTGAAGCCAACACTCCCAGCACCGCTGTGCTCCACGCTGAGGATAAAGCAAACCCCAGCCCGATGGATGGAGCCACCGAAGGCCGCGGACCCCGAGCTCCGGCCGAGGGCAGCCCGGCGGGCAGGGCCCAGCCCTCGGCGGCTTCGGCGGGAGCACCGGGGGCCCGGCTGGGCTGCGAGCCCGGGCAGGTGCGGACCCAGCTCGGCAGCAGCCGGGCCGGGCGGCCTACGCGGCCTCGCTGCAGCCGCCTGCTGCCGCCGCTTCGGCCTGTGCGCATCCTGCGTGTGCCTTGTGGTAACAATAAGCCGAAAAGTTACTCCTCGGAGCTGGCTCGCTTGGTTGTGGTGCGATACCGTGTTTTCCTTTGTCCCGTAGCAAAGGTAGTTCATCCATCAGTGCTCACGAGTGGTGTGTGAGGGTTTATGCCACCTGACTCTGCAGGTACAGCTGTCAGCTCCCAATGGTGCGGTGCTCGCCCTTGTGCTGCTGATGGTACAGTCCCCACTTCCTTGGTTGTTCTGAATTTAGCATCCCCGAGGGGACTCAAGGTAGGGTAGTCATTTTATAAAATACTCCCTCAGATTTCAGTTTGGTTTTTTTGTCTCTTGCGGTATTCTAGATGCAATTGTACAACCTTATATATATATATATGTATATACACACACACACACACCTTTTATATCCTTCATCCACCTTGTTCAAAACAGACACTTTCCCTCTCCTGGATGAATACAGTGGTGACCAGGATGCCATTTCCACTCTGCAATGTCCAATTGCTATGTTTGCAATCACAACCCTAGACCAATGGGTACACATATATTTACTGTGGGAGTGTGTTTCTGTTTTGTGTGCCTAAAAGCAGGTCTGTGTTTCCTCACTGTAGGAACGGACAGGACAAAGATACTATGTTTACCCTCTAATTGTTGTTCTGGTCTGGGTGCCTTCTGCACAGTTGTTGCTTCTTTTTCTTCAGCTTCTATGCTGACATTTGTTTGAGTGGTTTTTATCTTAAAATTGTGCTTTGGTGATACAAATTTCCAATATATTCTAAGTTATGTGATGTTTGTTTTCCTTCTGCATAATTTTTCCAAACCCAAACAGCCAAACTGGCATTTGAGATCACTTTGCAGCAGCAGGGTCATTGTATTCCCCCACTGCTTTTCCAAACCTACAAGCTGAGAAACTTTAATGTTTTATCTCTTGAATAAAAGGTTTCATGCAGCCATACAAAGCTATTTCTTTCAAGATCTGACGTTGTGCCCCCTAGATGCAGGAAACCAGTTCCTTGCCTGTAATTAAGCAAATTATGTGTCAACACAATCTATTTTATATTCTGTATTTCAGGGACCACTGTAAACTGTGGTCTTTTGCCATTGTGGAGTATCCTGCCTGCTGGGATTGAGCACAGAGCTGGGGCAGTGTGGAGGGCTCCTCTGGGAAAGGAGTCAGGGAATGCCAGAGCAACATCACAACCAAAAGAGTTTGCTTTAAAGCCTGGCAACCAGGGCACACAAACTTCTCTGGAAGCTTCAGGATTAGGCTGGGGAGGAAGATGGTTGGAAGAACACAAAGCTTGTTTTAATACATAAAAGCTTGTTTAAATACATAAAAGGAATACTCTTGGCTGTGTTTCTGCTTGTGGCTTGGTAATGTCATTCCAGAAATTACATCTGAATGTTACATACTGCTCAAGCAATTTTAAAGCTAAGACGACTTTCCTCATTGAGAATACAAGTATAGATCCACTGCCTGTAGGTTGTACAGTCTGTAGGAAAACACAAACCTCAGAGTTGTATTTAGTTTTGAAATAGAAAATTGAAACCTGTTCCAAGGGACGGTAAGAAAACTCACATAGTTTTGTTTCATAAATAACAATGATATAACATTGCTTGTATGTATTGTAGTGGGTGATTAGGAAGGAAGGAAGGAAGGAAGGAAGGAAGGAAGGAAGG